ACTTGTATACAATCCCGTCAAACGCAGAAAAAAACTTGCTTTCGAACGCAAACTGAAATCTGATCCAAACATAAAGATTGTCATTTCTTTCGACATCTTTGTCGGTAGATGCTGAAAGATCTTTAAATCAGGAAGGGAAGCTTAATTTTATTCTATAATAAACTAAAGAAGACCAGTTTTCTTATACAACTTTATCACAGACGGAATAATTAAAAAGAAAACGGTGAAATTGGCAGGTGTAGCTGGATATACAAAACAAATTTTATATTTTAAGAACAAATAACGCAGAAAAAGTAATTAAACCCCGGACCTCCATTTAAAACTATATAAATATTGTATGAGAATGAAAAATGCATAAGAAGGTCTTCGTTCGACAGTATTTCGCTTTCGTACGTGCAGCTCGACAGCCTTATTTGCAAAGTTCTCGCATTATTCATCGGAAGGTTTCAGATCACACAAATACATGTTACTGATCAAACAGTAAGATGAAACTAACTGCAATTGGTAAACAAGCCAAGTCCATGCTATCGGAGCTCATCAATTAAACTTAACGGCATGCTTTTCCACCGAGGGCTGACCTCCTTCAGTTCTAACCAAGTGAGTAGCTTACGAATACCCAGTTATACTCTTGGGCTTGGAGGGCACGGTAAAATTAAACTGTCTTACCTAGGGACATAATGGAATAGCTTGGACAGGACTTCTGGACCTAGGGTGCAGCTTACTCAGAAACCATCGGTCTACAGTGACCCACATAGTTTTCAGGAATTCTAATAAACATTTCATTAACTGTACCACTCACATGATACTGCGCACCACTAGAACTACCTAAATGATAGCACTGTATCGTGCGGCCAGTCAGTTGTTTAATTCCCCATGGCTTTTCTTGTTTGGCGCTCAAACGACGATTGACGCGCTTAAGTCCTAACAGAGTAAGGAATGTTCTTCTCATTTCACTGTCCCTTTGAGCATACACTAGTGGGTTCACACCGCTGTTCAGGTAGTGCGCACCCTTAACAATAGCAACAAGCCATGTGAATGTTTTCGGCGACGAAGGAAGACAGTGAAAGCAATAGGCAGCCATGATAGATACAGTAAAAAATGGCACCCAGGTAGTGATGAACAAACCTGTGATGAATGCCACAGTAATGGCCACTTTTCTCTCCCCTTGATAGTATTGGCTCATCAGGCTTCCTGTGCTTTGTCGACCCCCAGGGGAGTGATGCGGGTTACGCTGAAGAAGTGAGCGCGCTACTGAAAAAACGCCCGCGTACATAAAAAACATAATGGCTGCCGGAATTGCGAAACTGATGATGAACATAATAGTGGCATATACTAGACTGTTCCAAGGGATTTTAAGAACAGATGGCACGGTAAAAGACGAGAGAGAAGCCAATAAGCCGGCGACAAGCCATGCAGATGTTATCATTGTCCGTTGAAACGAGGACGGTAAACTTTTATAATAAAACGGTCGAGAAACGGCAATGTAACGTTCGATACTTATGGCGGTCAAATGGTAAATGGACGCCAGAGCTGAAAAGACATCGAAAGTTTTGAAAATGGCTTTAAAGGGGACGGAACCATTATCCACTATGATGATGTTGTAGATCCACATCGGCATCGATATAATTCCAACCAGGAAATCCGACACGGCTAAACTGACGAGAAATGCGTTTGTTCGAGTTCTCAGTCGCCGGTTAATCTTGTAGGATGCGATGACAAGAGCATTGCCAAATAATATCGCAACAGCGAGAAGAATGGAAGGTGCTTGAATGGCGCGGAGAGGTACATAGTGGGGCAGCTGCCATTTGTCAGAGCCATTTGAATTCTGGACGCTCGTGGCATTAACTAACGCTGGTGAATTCATACAGACTTCCCGTGATAACAATTGCGTAAAAGAAAAATCACAATTTTCCACGAATTGTTTTCCAGCTATGTTAAACTCAAATTTCAAACGAAAGCTAAACCCTTTGAAAAAAACCCTTTGAAAAAAAAATGATAAACCCTCGCTGTTATTGAAAGAAAGCTGTCAAAAAAGAAACACCACCTGTCTGTACGTGCAGAATAAATTAACTGCCTCTATTGTGATTCTGTCTTTATTTGTTTTATATTATTTGCTTGTAATCCTATCCTAAAGGATTGCTTGCGTTGCATGGCAACAGTTATGAGTATCAATAATGGCGTATTGAGATCCTTTCCTTTAATAACTCAATCCATCGAGAACGATGAACTCTAGATTTGTAAATCGATGCATGTTATCGTGATGAAAAAACAAATTCGTTGTCATATTCTTTTTCTCGTTGCCCTATTCTAAATTTTACATTTTCAGTTTTTTTTTCGAATGTCATTCCTCGCTGCTTAATTGAAGTTGGTTTCGAGGATGACATATTTAAACCTGGTTTAACTGCAAAAGAAAAAAAAAACCTTCTTGAGTTTGGAGCTAGCTGTCGCTGGGAAATAAAGTTGAAAGTTTTCAAACGAGTTGTTTCAAGATAAAATTGACGAATTAAGAAGTCATCCCTGAGAAGAGTTCACGCGGGGCCTTCTGAAATAGTCGCATCAAATTTGTGATTGCTGTTTTTTAAAAAACTATTTATTTCAATTTTGCATTTTGTGCTTTTTTTAATTTTAACACATCAGCAATATAAAAAATTCATTATTATAAACGTGAAAGAAGAGATGACCTTGAACTGTCTTGAAACGTGTAGGTACAAGTGACAATCGGCCTACGAACTTCTTCATTGAAGTCATTGGCTGATCAGATAACTGGATTGCTCTGTCATGAAATCACTCAATTTTCTATGCACATATTCCCTATGAATATTTTATGTCGATAGCGCGCTTTGTTTTGGAGATAAAATGCCCTAAAATTGAGGATCTCCTTCCGACAAATTAGCGAGAGAAGGGCTTTTTTGTTCGTTTATTCTGACTTAAGATGTACTGTTGATTGTAAAGCCCATTGAGATAACAGAAAGGCTTTTCATGCCGCCAATTCTGTATATCAAACTGGCTGAGTTTAACACAAGATACGGAGCCATTAGTGTCTGATGAGAGAAGTGCAGATTAGGCTTGCCGTTGGTACAAGGTGTGACAGGTGTTATTACAAAATTTTGACAATCTTATTGCAAAGAGCGACAGGTACAACTTTATTGCAAAGTGCAACGGATAGATTAAAGGCCTATTGAAAAAATGCAGAGTGCGTATGGCCACGCAAAATTTCAAATGCCATTAAGAGCTCTAAATTTAACTTCCTTCGGGAATAAGAAAGGAAAAACCTCAAGGGCGAAGATTTGAGAAAACGTTTTAGATAATCTCAAAAGAAAAAAAACTCGGACTCTAGTTTGTTTAAAACGACGGTAACTCTTGTAAGCATTACTTTTGTAAATGTAAGCTTCGCGCAGACAGCAAAGAACTGTGTTTTAAGACATCCTTTTTTGGAACAACTTATAACTAAGATCGAAGCAAGGACTTGTTTGTGCTGCTGTTCTTGAAAAAACTAGCCTTTTACGCCAATGAAAGCTCTTTCCTCCCGTCTTATGATAAAAAGTATCTACGAAAACAATAACATAACTGCCAAATTGATTTCTAAACGGAAATTTACAAAGAATACTCCGGCTTTCTCTTTGACACGGTTCCAAGAGCATCCGAAAGATAGTAAATAAATATTTAACAATTGGTTCATAGGTCAGCGTGCGTTCATCGAGATATGAAGCACGCAGGAAGTTTGGAGAGCACGAAAGATGCGTAAGAGTTGCTCGAGGCGTAGTCGAGAGCAACTCCCGCTTCTTGAGTGCTCTCCAAACCTCCCAAGTGCTGCATATTTCGATGAACGCACAGCTGACTTATGAACCAATTGTTTTATAACATTTTCAACCCGATGGCCCGTCCACACGTATCCGGATAAATTTGAAAACGGATAAATATTTATACGGTAACGGGTTCCGTCCACACGTAAACGGCGTTTTCACACACCGAAAACGGATAAATTTGAGAACGCTCTCCAGAGTGGATAAATTTGAAAACGCTGGCTAAGCCTCTCTGTGTGGACGCCTTATCCGGATAAATTTGAAAACAATTTGAAAACGATGACGTAACAATTCAAACCTAGTCACGGTTCCAAGAGCATCCGAAAGATAATAAATAAATATTTAACAATTGGTTCATAAGTCAGCGTGCGGCCGATCGACCATTAATTAAAACATGGTGAATAAACAAGCTCTAGTTTCGGTTGTAACACAGGAGCAATTATTAAAAGAAGGTTAGCTGAAAGTGCACTGTTTTCCTTGTAGTGATTTTGCGACTCGTTTGTAACCTAAGACCGAGTTCGACATCGATGCGCGTGCGTGGCGGCCATGCTGTCACGGATTTCTAGCCTTGCGAACACTGTTGATAAGTTTGAGAAGCCCAAGAGCACAGCCAAGAGGATTCAGGCTCAGGATACGCGAGACTGCGGGCACATGTTTTGCTCTAAAGAGCATGCTCAGTAGGCGACGTCATCGTTTTCAAATCGTTTTTGCGTTTACGTGTGGACACCAAAAACGATTCACAAACGGCAACGTGTGGACGTGGATAAATACGGATACGTGTGGATGGGGCCTACATGTTGTAAAGATTTTTTTCTTGAGGGATTTGATTGCTGACGTCATGAGCGTGCACAATAGGAATATGAAGCACGCTCACTCAATTCAATTTGATTAGACAAATTTACGCGCTATATTATAATGCTTATTGAATTCGAATAAACAGGTTTGATTCCTATTCTTTACGTTTGTATTAATTCTCCCCCATTTCTACACCTTCCCATTTTACTTTCCCACTTCTTAACTTTCCTACTTCTTTACTTTTTCACTTAAGCATTGTAATTACTTCTTTGTGAGTTTTCAAGTTGTCACGTCTGCTGACCTATCTGAACTGACTTTCAAAATTTGAAAAGTCAGTGGGAAAATTTTCTCTGGCGTAAACAATCCTTTATCATAAGACGTTAGATTACAACAATCGTTGCATTATGAAAACATGTAATTCACAAAATTGATGGGACTGGCTATTTTTCCCAAGAAGTATTCTTCCAAAAAGTGTTCGATAGGTTTCATCACATGGAACTTGAAATGCACAATATCACGCTCCTTGTGCCGTGCTACCTCGGGTCCTCCGGTGCCTTCCGGAAAAGACCTGGTAAAAGGGTAAACATCAAGCACCTCCAAGCCAGCCTGGCACATGAGGGAGGTTGCAAGAGAATTATAGAGTGCCACACGCTGCAAAGTGAAAAATAATAATAATTATACTACTACTAATAATAAGACGGCTTAAGTTTCCAAGAACTGTATTCGAGCTGTCAATCGTTTTAAGTAAAAATTTAATTAAAAAAAAAGGAAAATCAAGGACATTTAGATATTAAGTCACATTTCTCATGGCATTTAAAGTTCTGATTTTTTAAAGTAATCTTCAGTCTTGGGCGAAAATTAAAATTGAATGAATTCAAATTGGTTACGTAAAAGGATAACGCGAGAAATAAACGAACCACCGGCGGAGATATCGAATTTTCAACCGGCCGATGATCAACCAACCATTGGCACGAAGAAAAAAAGCAATAACGTACCAAAAAAAATAAAGAAAAAGCAAATATCTACTTGAAAGTGCCAACTCTAATGTCTTCTTCCCCCCACATACTTACCGGTAGAGCAAGAAATCTTCCTCGATCACTTGTCAGTTGACTTCCAGTGTCCTTCTCCTTGCTTATAGAAGTGGACGTTTTCCATACTACACGAGCCTTATGCTTCAGTTCGCCTGTACCTTTGTTTCTTTCGTTCAATAGATCAATCACCTTCAAAAGAAGTATTCTATAATCTTGTAGTCTGATGCTCTCCATGTAATGCAGTCCAAGATTCAAAATCAACACACTGTTTTCGCTCATATCGGGTCTTTCCAACACAACCCTGAGACTATCGAGAATAATGGACTTATCGAAGTCTTGATCATCCCATTTTGGAAACTTACCGCTGTAAGGGTAAACCCACATTTTACTTAGATTACAAGATTTAAAGATCTCCGTACAAAGAGGTCCATCCTTTATCGATAAGTGCAGTCTTTCGGCCTGTGAGTCTCCATAAATCCACAACTTTTCCAGCTTAGGAGCCGTGATACCCAATTTCATCGGCTTAGTGTGCCCAGGTACTTCTGTAAAGAATTCAAGTGGTTAGAGCTCCTCTAAAGCTCTGTACATCACGAAAAATAATAACATTCACCGTCAGGAGCAGTATGCAAGACGAGAATCACATATGAACCAACTGTCAAGTAATGGCTCGTCACGAGTTCTGTATGGCTCAGCGGTAGATCAACTGAACGGTATGTGCGGGAGGTCCTCCGACTTTAATGCGTCTGCGCAGGGACTCGTTTTCTACGCTCTTCAGTGAATTCACTGAAGAGCGTAGAAACAGACTATTTTACACAAGCTCTGAATTTTGACGTAATTACCGTTACAGTTTTCAGACTTTTAGTTCTTACTTACGTCTACCATTTGTACGACGACTGAAATCTGTTGGTTTATAATAAATTCCCTCACGGGAGTTACGCTAGTTCTGCTTAGTTGCCGTAAACCACAATCCCGAAACATACCTGTAAGATATGGCTTCCAATTTTTTCCAAGCCAACGGCCGAATCCATCCCACGTAAATTTACAATCCATGCCACAAGACAAGTTAAACTTGGCAGAGAGGCAGGGGCGGTCTGGTAACTGGTTCATTAGAAATGCTCCTACAGGCAGAAGGAATAAACCGGAAAGGACCGGAACATTGCAACAAACGGCAAATAGGTTCACTTGGACTGTATTTGAAACGGTGCACTTGATAGCTTTTCCTAAAGGGTCATGACGGTCAAAGTAATGCGGGAAAGCGTGTCCTTGCTAAACAGAAGCTCAAACGCAATCAGCGACTGGTCTTAACTTATCATCAGGGAGAAGGGGACGTGGAACATTTTGGTAAAGCCACAACAAAATTTACCTATTCTCCCCTAAAGCTCTGTTGCTTTCTAATGATCTTACTTTTTGGACAGTCCATTTTATATAATTCCATCCCTCTTTATACTCTACTCGCGACAACTGATCCCCTTCTGTTCCCCCTGAAAACTATAGAGAAAACCATGAGATCCCCCAAATTCCTCCGAAACCCCCCGCCCACCTACTTTCCGCCCCCAGGGTATAAATAATGAATAATGAGTAGTTCCTTGAGAGTACGCTGTTGAACGCATTGCGACTTCGTGTTTACGATCGGTGCTCGTCACAAATTAATTGCTTTGTGTATATACAGCTTATTTTTCAGTTTGCACAGCAAAAGAAAAACCGTCAGAAACGTTGATCCAGTCAGAAATTCACAAGTTCCCTTACCTCTATCGTCTGGCAGCGGAATGTTAATCATAATAAGCTTCCCATTCTGGAATGATTGAAGAAGGTAGTCGTCCTTCGCACGGTTTGCACCGAGTGTCCCATCTTTTTGCATCTTACCTTGGGAATTTCCTTGTAAAAAAAGTAAAATAAGAAAAAGGGACAAACGGGTCGATGCGAAAAGATGAAATAGTAGATCTCATCAATGCGACCGCTGGCCATGAAAGATGGATCGTTTTGACGAGGTTGTAGTATTCATGAGGTGAGGTGCTTCACATACAGTTGGTGATTTAACAGGTCAAAACTAAAAGGATCTGTGGTGGGTAATTTAAAATTGTGGCAAAAATTTTCTCCAAGATTGGGAAATACTTGTTAGATTTATTTTTTTCACTCTTTTTATTACTTATTTTAGCTTCATAACACGAACAAAAGATCCGCTTCCTTGAGGACATTCCCTGATGCGGCAAAATGGTTGCGTAAGTCTAAGTCTGGTTGCCTAAAGCTGAGACTTAAGCGACTGGGATCTTTACTACGACTTTCCTAAAACGCCAGAAGAGATATGAAACCTTGTGCAAGACAAGAGGGAATGAAAGAAACTTGCTGCCGACTGCGGTGTACTTGTATGATGATGGTTTTAGAGAACCAACTCAAATTTATGAACATCTATGATTATCAAGCAAGGAGAATCAACGATAAAAAAAACACGTTTCAGAATCTTGATGCTATATATCTTTAAGTTTTAAGTGTTCAGAATTAAGTTTCAGAAAAAGTAGACAGAAGATGAGATGAATGATTTCGTAATCTGCGCAAACATTTTGGCTCGAATTGAATTCGAATGTATAATGTAATTTATTAAATTACCGTTTTAATAATCTGTGATGACGTCAAATGAGTGAGACTTGCACAAATTGAAGTACTGTCCTCTTAAAATGTATTCTTAAGTCAGATTTCCAATTGGATTAATCAAAAGAACAGCCTTCCATGTTCATTTACCTTTGATTCTGTTGTTGAAATACTAATCAAACCCAAGAAAAGCTACAGGACCATTATATGTACAATTTTTAAGCAAAGAACTCTTATCCAGAGTTTAGTATCTTGCCCAGCATCAATTCACATCACAAACAAGACTCCCCAAGGAACTTTTTTTGATTATATTTCAGACATCTTACCTACGATGAACCAATTTTTTGGCGGATCGCGGAATCCGTCACACAGGCTATAGTCCAGAGTGATATCCAACTTATAGGCCCCAGGGTCCATAACAAGAAACAAAAACTCGTAGGTGCCATTTCCGTGATCAAACGTAGTAGGTGACACAGTGGCCGGACCGCGCAGTAACACACGCCAAGAGTCGCCGCCAATGTGCTTCAGTTTACCATTCCGAGTTTTTGTTTGAATGCTGAAACGACTGAACTGACCTGCTGGTCTAATGTCAAAGAACGAAATCGCACTTTTGCCGGCATCCGTTTGGAGCGCGCGTTCAGGAGAAGGTCCATTCCATGAAATATTGTAAAAACATGGTTTAAGAATTGAGTCCAAGTCGACCCGTGCTCGGCGAATTCGACACCAGTATTCTTTGAATTGTTCGACATTTTGGGAAATTCTGTTTGATTCCTCAAGAGAATACAAGTTTCTTTCATCGCTGAAATAATTGTAGTGAAGAAGATGAACAGCTACTGTTGAAAGCCAACATTTGACAAATGTTTTCCACCAGTGGACGTAAACCTGGCTCATTTGGAGCATGTAAGTTCCATCGAATGGTTGTAAAAAATTTTCTGCTTTTTAACCTTATGCAAATTATCCACCAGGACACGTTGAAACTACAACAGCTATAACCATAGTAACCGAACACATTTGCTTGGAATGTTGATGTACTTGTGCCTCTCTTTGTTATTCGCCGAGGATTTTTTTTTTTTTTTACTGTAACCTCGTTAAACACTATATACGGCTAGAAAAACTCTGAAACTTAGAATCGTGTTGGTTTTTGTAAAAGCTTTAAATTTCACCTCTGTTTTGCTTCATATTCATGATACGAGAGAAGTCCAAAATCACAATCGACAGTCAATTTACAAAGTAAGATGTCATTAATAAAGCATCACCAAATTTACTTGACATAACTATCAATCTTATTTTAGCTAAAACTAAGGCCAGACACTTTGCGCACTTCAGTTGAGGCGAATCAAATGCACAACTATTGTTCTTTGATGTTTTCGTTAGATTCATTCATAAGCCGAGGGCATGCTGCTAGAATTACATGTAATTGGAATTTGAATCAATTCCGTCGACCCAATTTAATTTAGATCGGCAAAAACTCGAATTTTATTCACGTTGAACACGACACGGCTTGTGCATATTGTTATAATAACAATGCAGGGTGCTCACGTCACTGGAAAGTGGTATTCTGTGAGGCACTGTATTAAAAAAATAAAAGTCATCATAAATAGATAACAAGTTAAAAACACAAAAACTGTGAAATACACGAAATATGTTAATAAAAGTTGCTTATTATTCAGTCGATAAAAAAACTAACTGTCTTTGCTTAAAAACGAGAAAAGAGTCGATTTCTTTAAAAGAAGTACCTAAAACATTCCATTCTTTTGCACATATGTATAAAAGTCTTTGTTTTCCATTGTTTCTTTTAACATGAGGAAGGCGGAAATCGTTCTTTCTTCTCGTATTATAACTATGGATGTCAGAATTTCTTTAAATGTTAAAGCAATAATCCACAAGCCCGTGAATGTACTTAGAGGTGGCAATGTATCTATGTACAAGGCGCTGTTGGAGTAATGTTGGCCAGCCAAGAGTTTTTGGAGCATCAGTGGATGAAGCGTTGCTCGGCAAATCGAGGATAACTTTTGCGGCTTTATTTTGCAGTATTTGCAAATCTACCATAATAATAGTATTATCCTTGTCTCCTCAAATGATATCGGCATAGTCAAAAACTGGACTATCAAAGAATTGTACGACGTGATTCGCGCTTCTGATGGTAATAGATGCTTGACACGTCTCAATAAGCGTGGGCACGGTCACGTTTTGGCCAAAGTTATTTCTGCGAATCACTTGGCCATTAACATAAGTTTTTTTATTGGCTCTGTTTTCTTCATTAAATTTGATAGATTTTGAATTAGGATAAGTGTTAGGTTGAACAAGCTGACACTTAACATAAGCTTTTTTATTGGCTCTGTTTTCTTCATTAAATTTGATAGATTTTGAATTAGGATAAGTGTTAGGTTGAACAAGATGACAAAAAGATTACTGGTGGTTTAGTCTTAGTTACCATGATTACGATCAACATCATTCACACCACGTCCTTTCCTAGTAACGAAAATAATAATAAACCTAATAAATAAAACATTTATTCATTCCAAATGATCTCCCTCATCGCTCGGCATTCTAGAGCGGTTCTGAAATTATGGCTATCAGCAATAGCACTACAACTGTTTTATTTCCAGTATTTCAGAAACAATGGAGGAAATTCATTTTGCTTCGAAGACGCGCAGAAAACTTCGCATCAAGTCGAAAGTTTTCAAGAAAGCTGGTGTAGAATTCACCAAGCGCGAGTTCATTTGGACTCAATTCTTAAACCATGTTTCCACAATATTTCATGGAATGGGCCGTCACCTAATCGCGAACTTCAGACGGATGCCACCAAGAGTTTGATTTCGTTTTTTGACATCAGGCCTGCGGGTCAGTTCAGTCGTTTCAGCATTCAAACAAAGACTCGGAATGGCAAGTTGAAGCACATTGGCGGCGACTCGTGGCGCGTGTTGCTTCTCGGTCCGGCCACCGTGTCACCTACAATGTTTGATCACGGAAATGGAACATACGAGTTCTTGTTTCTTGTTATGGACCCAGGGGTCTATAAGTTGGATATCACTCTGGACTATAGCTTATGTGACGGATATCGAGAACCCCCGAAAAACTGGTTTATAGTTGGTACGAATAACTATTTATTTTTTAGAAATGAAAGATGGTAGATTTTGCGTTCGTTTAAGGCATAATGAAAGATATTCTTCTTGTGACAAGGATGGGGCGATGAAAAAGTTAGTTCCCTCGATGAATCGCACCTAAGACCTTTAGAGTACGCGATCCGAATGATCCGCTGCTCTCTTTTGCCTAATGGTTGAGCATCAGATCGCAGAATCCAAAGGTCCAAGATTAAATTCGTCGTGCGGTGACCCAAATGTTTTCTTGAAACCACGCTCGCAACAAATCGAATCTCACTGTTGTGTTTAGTAACCGCAGTTGTTTTTCATCCTACCCGCTTCTTTCATTAAATGGAAGTTCCAAAGGAGAGAATCCTTATTTTAAAAGTATTGTTTTTCCTCAGGGAATTCGCATGGTAAATTACAGAAAGAAGGAATGCTTGGAAAGAACCGAGCCAGAGATGATTACCTTCTTCAACGCTTTCAAGATGGAAAGCTTATTATGATCAACATTCCGTTACCTACAGCTGGAGGTAGGATAGGATCTATTACTTCTTAGTTATTTCAAGGAAAAGATGAAAATAAGCATTGGGTAATTCTCGCTTCCAAGGCGAAGGTGCTACGACAATCTAGAAATAAGCCATCAAGTAATATGCAGGTTAAAAGTCATGGAACACTCAACGGGATATATAGTACTAATGTCGAACTATCTCCCCACCTCTCCCCCAAACAATGCTGAATTATGTGCGCTTCGTTAAGGCCCTGTGGCAATTGCTCACTTTTACCAAGATTGTTAGAGGGGGGAGGGGAGATTCTGTGTGCTCGCCTGAATTGGCAAAAAGTGGTTATTTTAAATATATCTGGCTATAGGTATGTCCTAAGGAGTTTTTACTCCCACAGCAGACATTTAGAGAGGATTTTCTCGTTCTCAAGGAAAACACCCAATAAAATTACCAGGTACATGTAACATCATTCCAGATGCTAGTCACTCCTAGGTCTCGAAGGATTAATAAAACTGGTTTTATTTCTTCACACAAGTCTTTCAAATGTACATGTAATGTGAAGAGTTCCACAAAAGTCCCGGATGAAGCATCCTAGATTATAGCCTGGCTATTACTTTCCACTTATGGCCGCTACATCCAACCATAGTTAATATCCAATTTTGTGAGAAAATGCGGAAATACATCTTATGATGCGTGTAAATGTTTTTCATAGGAACCTATTTAATAAACAGACTAAACAGGCAATCAAAAATGAATTCACGGAGGGTAAGTTTCCTCCCAGACTTTGACTTGACCTGTGGAGTGAAGTGTAACTTCATGTGGGATGGGTTTGGGAGGTGGCTTGGCAAAAATTGGAGACCTTACCTCACAGGTACGTAACAAGTGTAAATTCTTCAAGAGTCCACGTCCGCACGTCAATTTTTGTCTTTTCTGAGTAGTGAAGTGACTTGGCAGTTGGTTGATGGAGACCTTGAACGGCGAAGGCAACGAGGAAGTGGCAAAACAGAAGATATATTGGACAGAACTTTAACTCAGTATGTGCGCTTAAGGCTTTGAACATTTCTTGAGTGTCCCCTGGAAAACAATACAATGAAATCACCAAAATCAGTGCGCAAGTCTAAGAACAAAAACCCAATCAGTGTTTCCGAGAACTCAACGCTACTCGCACGTTTTGCTGAATTTGAGTTATGGCGCTGTAAGTGGCAGTGAACGCAAAATTTTAACTTTATCGAGGTCTTCCTCGGCTTTGCCGTCATGATCGTTTGAGGTCCCTAGTGACGAGAACAGGCTCGACTGGCCTTAACTAATTCAGAAAATTACA